TGACTGAGACTGGATCAGTGTGATCAGATACCTGAGCCAAAAAGGCAGTAAAATCTGTCAACCTTAGGAAAAGCAAGTCTCTTTTCTAGCAGGGGGGCTGTATCTAGGGTTCCCTTTGCTCAAACAGTGCTACATTTGGAACTGCCCTACACTGCCGCTGGAAGGCAGTCCACATTTCTAGGAAATGTGAATGAGTGTGGATTTCAGAGCACTAAGAGGAGCCAACCTTTAAGCAGAAAAGGCATCTTAACCTTAATTATAGCAGACCTGCTATTCCTCTCCTGTGTTTCTCAGGCTTAAAACAAGCAGCTGCAGAAACAGTGCTCTCTAGCATGGTGCCAGGTCAGTGTCTGAGTACTGAATCAGACCAGGCAGCTCTGTGATCTATTCCCAGTGCTCCCTCCTCCTGTCCCTGCAGATGTTTTTTACAGGGCTCCCATCTCGCTTCACACTTGTCCACCCTTAGCTTGTAAAAACTGCCAGGCTCCCAACACAAGCTGACAAGGCTACAGGCAAGTGCATATTTCTTGTGGGCTGTTTCTTCCACTAGAGCAGGGTATGAGGGCTTTTGCTTCACTCTTCCCTTCCTCTCACTTGGTCAATCCCTGGCTCCAGTCTGAGGAAATGGAAACTTCCCTGTAAGCTATACACAAATACATGCATCCTGTGACAGAGGGCTGAAATCCCTGAGCGGCACTGAGTCCCAAGGGCATGCTGTCCCACTGGAGCACTCCTGAAGAAATGCAGCAGCCGTACAGCGGAGCTTTTCCATGCACCACGGCATGTTACAGCTTGGATCTGCAGAGCTAGAGGGTGCTGCTGCTGCTCTCATTCAGGCAGCAACAGTCCTGCAGCAGGCCAGCAATAATGGCAGATGGATCCAGCAGGATTCATTAAGAGAATTCATCTGATTAATTAAAAGATGATTTTATTTGGGAACAAAGAAGAGGTTATCAATATCATTTGCTTTTGGAAACAAATATCTAATTAAATACTGTTTGACTGCATCTCCATTTAATGTCAGGCCCTGACTAGTAGAATTTATCATATGAAATGAAAATTAACCCTGTCAGGCCATTTCCTGTACCACAGAGCAGCATCTAGTCATACTGGCAAAGAGGCATGGTTTAAAGAGGCTTTTTGCTGCTCTCAGGAAAGATGGGAGAGTGCCTTGTTCCTGAACAATTGAACTATGCTTATCTGCCTAATGGTGCATAGCGCTCACATGTAGCCTCAAAGGGAATGCTAAAGGTAAGCACACAGGTTTAACATCCCCCTGCCATTCACATACCAACTGGGACTACAGACCTGGAACTAGAGCCCATGGGCCCTTGTCCTCTATAACATGGTACTGTCCCAGAGCAGGGGCTGTGCAAGGTGGAATCTTGTGGGTGAGCTGAGACCTGTGGATGCTCTCCTTAGCATAGGAGACCTGGGTTGTTTTTTGTTGTTTTTTTAACTTGGTGCACTCCAGTGAGAAGATTTAAATCCATTCCTTATTTCCTCTCAGCTGCTTCTCATCCAAGATCTCTTTATATTCATCTTACTGAAGCTGTGTTTTCTGTGGCTCTGGCAGCTCTTGGGTTGGATGTTCCTAATGCTGTTTTCTGGGAGCTGCTGCTACCTCTCTGCTGGAGACAAAGGGTCCTTCTTGCCCTCATACTAGCAAAGAGGCAGGGCTTGGGTATAACAAACCCAAAACGAATTCCTTAGCAAGTAGGTCTGTGCAATGCTTCAGTTGCCAATTCGATTCGGAGGACATTTGGCCCAATTCAGCTGCCAGATCTCTGAATCCAAATCAAATTGAGAGACCCATTAAAAGGTCCAAATCAAATCCAAAGCCTCCAAATCAATTTAGAGATTTGGATCAGCCAGGGAGAGCAGGCACAGCCGGGTGCCTGCATGTTCTCCTGCAGCTCCTCCAGCTGTGCCTGCTTCTGCCCAGGCCAGGGGAGGCATGGGAGAAGCCCCATCCCCCACCTGACCCGGCCTCCTGGCACTTTAAAAAAAAAAAAAAGAACCATGCTGCATCTCCACAATGCAACAGCTGCCATGCAATTGCTAAGTGTGTGTGTGGGGGGTGGGGCGCGGCAATCCCTGCTGCCCCACACTGCCCCTGCACTGGGTGGGGAGGCTCTGCCATGAACCCCCAGAGGCCCTGATCACTGCTGCTACAGCTGATGAGTGCAGGGCTTCTTTTTTTTTTTTTTTTTTTT